TGATATACCAAAAAAAAAAAAGAAAAAAACTATTATGCAGTAAAAGTCATGAGTTCCTCATTGTTTGTGTATCTGTTTTACATGTAAAAGCTAAAAAGCACCAACTTTCTTCCATATGCAGGAGAAAGAGCTAGCAGCTGCAGCTGAAAAGCTTGCCGAGTGTCAAGAAACCATTTTCCTTCTCGGCAAACAACTAAACTCCCTTCGTCCCCAAACCGACACCTCGACTCCACTAAACTGCTCAAGAAATCAAGACGTCGAGTCCATTTTTCAGGAGGAACCCACCGTAAGTGGCATGGAAAATTTGCAAGAAACCGAATCATTAGAAGCCGATACTTTTGTTTTACACAGAGCTGGATCAGAGTCCCCAATGGACCCATTCAACTCCTCATATACTCCTTCGGACTCCGATCCCAGCCACTTTCTGAGATCGCCTGTCGGCTCTAAGTATCATCCTAAACACCGTCCTACAAACTCGGGCTCGTCTTCTGCTTCGTCCACGCCTACCCCGGAAAAGTATGCTCGTGGGTTTAGCAGATTCTTTTCTGCTAAAGGGAAAAATTAGTTGTTGAGTGTGAATGGCCTCGTTTTTTTTTATTTTTTTTTTATTTTTTTTTATGTACTAGGTTTTATCGTCTAGATGAAGTGGTTGTAACGGTATTCTGAATAAAAACCAAACAGAGAGAGAGAGAGAGAGAGAGAGAGAGAGAGAGAGAGAGAGAGAGAGAGAGAGAATGATGTAGTTTATGCTTCTTCCTTTTTCATATTTTGTTTGATTAATGTAAATAAGGATCCTTTTCAACTTGTTCATTGTCATACTTGTAATTTTTTTGCTTAGATTTTGGAGGGTCTCGTCTAATTTGGAATTGGTACTCTCTTGTTGGAATAGTTTGAATTGCTAGGTTTTTTGTTTTCTTTGGGTTACTAGTACAACACCCGTGTATTACACGGGTGCTTGTTAAAAAAAAAAAAATTTAAATTTTAAAATTAATGAGAAAACTATAAAAATCTAGTTTATTTTTTTACAAAAAAAAATATGTTACTCTATATTTTAGAATGATATGTGTTACTTATGACTTACATGTGTTATATTATATTAGTTTTCATAACTTATATCATATAAATATAAATATATTAATTGATAATTAATTTTATTTTTTAATTAATATTAAAAATAATATTATTATTTTTATAAAGATAAATATAAATTATTTTCTTTATACATACAATATGGATGTTAAATCGAAGCTCGTCAAAAGACGATTAATTTGATATATTACATATGTAAAACTGATAAAAAATACAAAAGTTATTAACTTTTAAAATATATATACAATTCAATAGTTATAATATGGAATAATGTTGAAATGCAATTAATACATGTAACATGACCATAAATAATCAACATATTTATGATAATCCGAACCTAATTATTTTTAGTTTGGAATTAAATTAAAATTTATCCAAGCCTAATAACGAAGCATGTAATTTTGCCACATAGGATTACGAAACACCAGAAGAAGCCACGTAGGCTCAGCGCGTTCTGAGTTAATATATAGGGGGATGGGCTTGTTATGAAGAAACTAGCGGAATTGTTCATTTACTCACTCTTAACACGTGTCTCAAATTTTTTGTGATATTTCAGCCACAGCCACGGTATATTATATGACCATCATTTGAAAAAAGACTACACGCAATGGTTCCTTGAGGAATTTTAGCCTTTAAATATGTATACAGTTAGTTATTATAATTAATTTATGGTTAAAATTCCTCACGGAACCATTCCGTGACGGTACTGTAATCTTTTCCCATCTTTTGTCTCATCAGTTGGTGAGTATAGAAAGTCTCAAAATTTTCTGTGATTATACAACCGAACCCTTCATACATTACTAGTACGTATCCCGTGTGATGCACGAGACAAAAATATTAAATGGGTTATTTTTACAGGCTATAGTTTTATCATCTATTTTCCACATCTTTTAATCAGCGTTAAGTCTAAAAAACAATAGAATTATAATCTATTCTACATCTTTTTATCATTGTTTTTTTAGCCAAAACATTAAATATGTGCATGTTAGGGCTAACTTGTGTTTTGTAGGTTTTTTGGGCATGTGATAACCGAGTTACCCGACTCGGGTCGTTCTCAAAGGAAGACGCTTCGGAGCTTTATCTACTACTCGATTGTTCAAATAACACATAAAGGAGAAAATAAAGTCCTAAACATTCTAATCAATTGGTTGGCAAGGAATAACACTAAGAGCAATTAATTACTAGTAATAACAAATCACAAGCAAATAGCGAAACTAGACTATCGGAGTCTTATGCCATCAACAGAACGAGATGAAAATCAACGACGACGAGGAATAAACGAGCTACTAGCGCTAGGTGATTAACCCTAGCCTTCTAACCCAAGTGATTAAGCTCTAAATAGAGTCCCAACCCTTATAGATAGACAAGCAATTAATCCCTACTAATACTCAAGTAAGCAATAAAAATCACCAAGTCCCAACTTTTCCTCCATCATCTACAATACTCACATTTACCTTAATAAGCATTATAAGTAAAGACGAGGCAAAAATCGAAGTAAAGAGGCTTAAAGATAAGTACCCAATCTTCTATTGCGTAGTAGATAAAAAACGGAGTCAAAAGCTCGAAACTTGAATGAAAACAAAGTCGCCGGAGAAACTCCCGGAAAACGACCTCCTTAGTCTAGAGAGAAAACTTAAAACATAAGCTAAGTTCCTAAAAAGAAAAAAAATGATATAATGAAGGTTGGTTCCTCAAAATGCAAAGGAACCAAAATATTTATACTCCAACTCAAAACACAGACTAGTTTAACGCAGATTTAATGAAGCACTCTCGAGGTCTCCACGGAATTCGCGAGCTCGCGGGTGGTGAACAACACTGGCGCACGCTGGCGTGCGCGGGTGACGGCACGGGCAGGCGCGGGGAAAATGAACTCTCGATGTCGGGGGCAGATTGGCGAGGCGCGGACGCAACTATGGAATACTCTCGATGTCGCGAGCATCCTGGGCAACAGCAATGCGGCAATCTCGAGCTCGCGGGTTCTTCCACGAGCGCGCGATGTCCTGAGCTACGAGTAATGACGCATCCGCGAGCGCGGACAGTGGTTGCGACGTCGCGAGTTCCGGGAAATGCGTGTCCATGAGGCGTGGGTGTAGGCGCGGCGCCGCGAGTGGCAAGGCAGGTCCGGGCTCGACATACTCGGTTCAAATATAGCTTGTACGAAATAGCTCGAAACTTCTCGGATTTGGCTCGGAATTCTTGGGAAATGCTCGTCCCTCGGCTTAAACCTGAAAATACATCAAAAAGCACTGAAAAGTACGCCAAAAATATAAAATAAAAAGAAAGACACAAAAACACACGATAAATGACAAAATGAACCGGTCGACACTAAAACAAGCATAAAACCGACTTAATTACACACATAATCACATAAAAATAAGCACAAAAACACAATAATCAACTTGTAAAGTAACTAATATATTATCCCACGAACATAATTGTACTAATATAAATTTGATTTTAGTATATATATATTTTTTAGTTATATTATTCCTTGATAAGGGCAAAATGGTCTTTAGGGGTGGTAAGTAGTAATAAGGAGACGGTATTTAGTAATCCACTTTTTCAAAACATTCATCTCTATCTTCATTAATAAGAGTTATTATTGACAAAAAAAAAAGATTCTTAATTACTGTGCAACTTCTCAAAAAGACACTTATTAAAAATAGGAAGGAGTATCTGTTGTAAGTATTTTTACCAGAGTAGAATCAAAAGACTCGTTCCCCGGGTCGTATCACAAGGAAGATTAACCGGATTTAATTGTACGATTATTCAATCACGAAAAAGAGAAAATAAATTCCTAAAACATTCTAATTCAAAAGTTTGGTTTTTCAATTATCAACTAATGACTTTAAAACTAAA